TTTCTGTACAAGAACCAAACTGTAAAAACGAGGGCTTACACATGCTTATGTGCCGGTCCATTTGTGGTTACGTAGGTAGTTTTAGAGGTGCTGCTAGGAGAGAGCCAGCTGTCTCCGCAATTCTGGTCTTTATGCTAAGCTAAGCTAACCAGCTGAACTTAGATTTACCAGACAAATATGAGAGAAATGTTGAACTATGGCTTGAAAGTTTTTACAGTTTTTACATACCTGTTTCCCCCCGTTTTCAGTCTTTATGCTAAGCTAGGCTGCCCAGCTAAACTTAAATTTACCAGAAAAATATGAGAGATATGTTATTCCTTGAAGGTTTTTACATACCTGTTTCCTCCTTTATTCAATCGTAATGCTAAGCTAAGCTAACCAGCTGCTGGCAGTAGCAGTAGCCAGCAGCTGGTTAGCTTAGCTGACAGACATCAAATTGATTTTCTCATCTAACTCAGCGAGACAGTGTATTTCCCCCGAATGTCAAACAATTTGTTTAACTCTCACATCTGATCTACAAGCAAAGAAACCTTCCAAATTCCAGTTTGATCCCAGATGTATCCGAGATGTAGACAGTAAAAAAAACAAAAAAAAAAAACAAAAACTGGAAACATCGAGCGTGCACAGCTGACCGATTGCTCCACATGTCCTTCATCCTGTCCGGAGGCCCTTGTCTGACCTGCCTCCCAGGCCTCATCTCTCACCTCCGCAATGATTGGCATGGCCACAGGTTTCCTGCCCAAACACGAGAGCCTATCTTCAAAGTAATAGCTTACAGCTGCTGCCTGGATAATCCTCATCCCCTCTGTCTTTGAAGGGATGCCGTGACATAATAGCCCCAGCTATTCTTCCCTAAATTGTTATGGTATTTCTCCAAGCGTTGTTCAATAGCGAAAGGGGAGTAGGTGAGACTGTTGCACGTGTTGCTAAATGTAGCATGATTATCAAAAGCCATAAGCAGCCCCCCCCCCCCCCCACCCCCACCCACCCCCACAAAAAAACACCCCATCCCACCCCACCCCTCCCCCCGTCTCTCTCTCTTATTCTTCTGGCTTCTTTTATCCCACCCAGTCCTCTTGATGCTTATCACTGCGGCAGAAGCATTAAATGTAATGTCTGTAGAAGGGAAATCATTGGCAACATGTGGTGAGAGCTTAAGATGTTGTCACACTTTAAGTTGTCCATAATCTGTTCAAAGGGAGAGTGCAGTTCTCCAAAGTGCCTGGAAAAAGGGGGGTGGGAGAGAAGAAGAGCAGCAGAGAGGGCGAAGTCTCTCAGCTGCACTTGGCTCGGCTGAAGTGTTCATCAGACAAATAACTGTTGGTCCCTGTTGGCTTTTGTCTTCTTCGTGGTGCTCTTTTTATTTTTTGTCTTGCATTTGCTAAAAACACAGCTTGTAGTGTTACAAGCCTCAACAGTGCGATAATCTGTCTCGGGGAGGGAGAGACAACCATAGATAACGTAAGAAAGGACAGACAAGGGATTACAGGTATGTGGACACAGGATTAAAACGAGGGACGTAATGATTCCTGTGGGAGAGAGGTATATGTGCTGAGATGGACTCTTTTCATTTATGAGTCCAGTTCTGGGGAGGCCTGGGTAAATATTGACAGTTCTCTCTGCTTGAGATGCAGCCATTGATCCACGCAGGAGGGGTCTCATCACTTGATCTGTGCGCTCAGGTGTGGGAGGAGGGAGAGCGAGAGCTGGGACACGGCTTGTCATGCTGGTGGTCCTCTTTGTGGTGTCTTTTATAAACAGACTATAGCTTAAAGGTGCTGATCGGCCTGCCTCTGCGACACTGGGAGTCGTGTTACCGGAGCAGCTGAACGCCCAGAAAGTGGATTTTAGGTGGATAGAGGTCTTAGTGTGATGGGTCACTGGGATCAAGTAGAGGCAGAAAGTGGTAAATGATCACCTAAATCACTTTAAGTCTGATTCCAGTCGCACATACAGCTTCTTTGATATCTTTGATATCCCGGTAGAGCTTGACAAAAAGCTGTGAAATCTCCTTTCCAGCTAATGTTATCAGCAGCCCATGTCGTCCTGTTTTTCTATATATAAAATCATCATTTACATCCTCTCCTCTGTCTCCCGTTGGCATGCTGGCCCACTGGCCCACTGGCCTGGTCCTCAAACCACTAATCAGGTAATGTTGGGGAGGTTGAATGGCGTGCCTCCCCCTGGTCAACCTTCACTGCTCACACAGTGGTGTTGTTTTAAAGAGCATTCTTTAGCAGCTGAACTTGGAAAGGTATTAAAGTGGGATTAGGCTCCTCCACAATCCACTGCTTGTGTCATTCAGGGAGTTTGTGTTCTCCTCTCCCCACTGCCACCTCCCCACTCCTCCTCTGTTTGATTGTGGCTAGCCGCAGGAGTGGGACTGACTGTGCCTTTCAAAGGAGAGGGGTAGGGTTAAATCCCTAGTCCACTGCTCCCTGCTAATTCTCCTTGTTCCTTAGAGAGGGATTTACTTCTGCTGCCAGCTTCTCAAAGGCCTTCTCTGCCCATCCGAAAAGTCGCCGTTGCCTTCCTGTGGAGGTGTGGTTGCCATAGAAGGGGCGTCATGCATGGCTATTCCATCTGAACCCCGCTGAGAATGGGGACCGGGGACTGAAAACAGGCAGAAAGTCCGGATTAGACCTGAGGACAAAGCAGGACAGGAAGATTCCAGAAGGGACGAATAGGAATTACAGCAGCAAAAATAATGCAAAGTGACAGAGAGGGGAAATAGAAAAATAATGGCTTACAAGATTAGACTCGGCGAGGAGAAAGAAGAAAGGAAAGAGGGCTGAATGAGAATGTTTTCATCTAGATGAGAAGATTTGAGAGAGCGGTCGTAGGTGAATGCAGAGTCCTGGACGTATCAAAACCGTGCTAACAAGTAATTTCCTCAACTTTTTTTGTGCTCTCTTTCTTAGCTTAAGCCGGCAATCATTAGCTAAACATTAGAGTTAGAGCTGGGAACTTGTCTTGACAGATTCATCACCTCCTTTCCCTGATCCCAGCATGTAACATGCTAATCCTTCTAAAAACTAGAAACAAGTCCCTGAATATTCAGTTTATCTTTGCAGATTTGAGTCAATGTGAAATTTCCTTCTTTTAATTTTTTTTCCAGAATTTTTTTTTATTATTATTTAAAGTGTTGCTCTTGTCTTTTATTTTTCAGTGACCCAACTTGGAGGTTTGTTTAGAAGATAGAGCCAGGCTGGCAGGTCACTTAAACGAGAGCCCTGCTTGTTTGAGATACATGCCAAAATTTCTTTTAGAAGGGATTATCCTGGAGGTTTTTCCATAGTTGAATAATAATCTTCTTAACTTATTGTAATAAATGAAAGATTAAAGGATTTTATGAACCCTCAGAGTGCTAGTTCTGATAGCTCTGTTGTTTCGCAGCTTCATGATGGTTAAACAGGAAATAAGATGCTTTAGCTGCCGCGTTCTGATCCAGATACAGGTCGTGATTTTGATTATAATGAATGGAATTAGTAAAATAACCTATTAATTGTTAGTGATGTAATTAAGATAACATAAAATGTAGCCTTGTTGATGCTGCTCTGATGAGCAATATCACAGTAATTATTTTAGAAAGCTGCACAGACAACAAAAACCACACTATCTTGTTTCCAGCAAGCATACAGCTGCTCACACACATGCACTTACATGTGTGAAACTGACTCATCCACACACACACACACACATACGCAGTATCACTACTCAATCAGCACCTATAACAACATTACCATAACAAAACCATCCTTTGGTTTCCCTCCTCTCATATTTACACATTATATTCATCACTATCGCTCATCCCCGTCCCGGACCAGCAGATGATGTCAACTGCTCCTCTCGCTGCCTCCCTGCCTCGCACAATGAAATAGATGTTCACCACAAATAGATAGGCGGCTGCCAGCTGTCTTCCAGACCAGGGCAAACAAAGAGGCCGCTAATAAATCCAGCTTTACGGCTGGACAAGATCAACCACACTCGCTCCCTTCTTACTCCATTTAATGTGGCTTCTTCTGAACAACAGAGGACGAATTAAATGCCTCTCAGTCACCAATAAAACAATGCAAACATCTTCCTGAAAGGATATAAAAGAAGATGGAGGTGTTGTCTTGGAAATGATGATAGAGGCAGTCTTACACCATAGAGGCATGATATTAGACAGTCAGATGAGATATGAACAGACGAGAGGGCAGCCCAGTAGTCAGCAATGAATCACGTGTGCGATATGGTATCTGATGCATATAGAGCATCGTGGATATGAAAGAAATGTGTAAATTGCCAGCAAAGGCTTGATTGGGATCAGCAGAGTTTGGTGGTCACTGCACTAGAACGTTGAGCCAGCCTCTTTTTCAGATTTGTGAGAGGGTTTCGGTGCCCATGACTGAGCTCACTTGGAATGACAGGGGACGGGGGCCCACCCTAGAAATTTTAACAGATGAGCTGCTGCCAAAGGAGTCACCTCTTGGCTGCCCACAGGATCAGCCAGCCAACTTGACTCTTAGTCAAGAAAACCCCTGATGGTCAGCTGAAGTGAGGCTACGTGGCAGAATAAAGCCACACACCTCGCCAAAAGAAAAGCACTAAAAGTTTCACTTGTGAGAGAATGTGTTGTTCTGCCTCTTAAAGGTTGTGTAGTCTCACTTTGAAAAAAATATAATCTGTTACTTTTGCCAGAGTGAATTGTAGGGTAACGAAGAAATCTATAACATATCATAGTAAGAGCACAAGTAGCTTCACAGCATTAAAAGTTTAAAGTTTGCCACCATCAGCCACCATAAGCCTCTGGTCATACCAGACCAGGCTGTATCAGCAAAACCCCGGTGTGCGTTGAGCTGAGCAATGGAGCATTCAGTTTCTCATGAACTGAACTTTTCATATATATAATAATTGATGAACTATTACCTCTTTCAGGAGTTACAGTGTTGCTTTAAACAACAACAGCTCTCTCTATCACCAGCACACCTACAACTGTTACTGTTTTTCTCGTTCAGGTTGTTTGCGACCAAGTGCAGCGGCTGCATGGAGAAAATCGCCCCCACAGAGTTTGTGATGCGCGCCCTGGAGTGCGTCTACCACCTAAACTGCTTCTGCTGCTGCGTGTGCGACCGTCAGCTGAGGAAGGGCGACGAGTTTGTCCTGAAGGAGGGTCAGCTGCTGTGCAAGATCGACTACGAGAGGGAGAAGGACTTACTCAGCTCGGTCAGCCCGGATGACTCAGACTCAGGTGAGCCCTCTGCACCCTCTCACACAAGAGCGAGAACAACACGGTGGTGCTATCATCGTATGGCACCGGGGTGTTGTATTCTGTATGCTCTGCTCCATCACAGTGGGAGCCAATATAGACATCCTCCATGATGGATCTGAATCTTACTGGTTGCAGCACTACAGTGTATTATCAACATAAAAAAAAACAAAACAAAAAAAAACACAACTGGTATTAATTTGTGCTTAAACCAGTTGCTAGGGATTTTTCAGAGATGTTGCATGCAGCCCAGGCAGTAAAATGTTCTAACTCAGCTCCATCTGCAGCTTTTCAATGGCTGATTTTGTAGCATTCTAATTCAAGCAGGGAGCGGAGGTTTATGATACAGTAGGAAGTGGAAACAGGACGAAGCCAAGCCACCCCGTATTAATGGCTCTCTATGCGTGGGCAGGATCTGGTTCTGGAAAGAATTAAATCACTGTATCATGGTGAGTGACAGAGGGATTTGGGGCCTTTCTACAGAAAGCCTGCGCCTCCACTCTTATCAGCTCTAGTGTTCCTCGCCTATAGCCTCCACACACAATGAGGCATCTCGCCAAGCCTCACTGTTCACTACCATCTGGCTCACATTTAGACACGCACAAAAGCGGGGAATTTGTCAAATACATCTGTGCCTGTGTCAACTTTTGTCAACTTGTGGGAATATTTGCTCTGCGTCATCCTCATTCAGTTGTGTCCCAGTGTATCGCGCAGGCATGTCTTTTTTTTTTTTTTTTTGTGCGCCTCTCCGAATTTCAAGATGGAGAAAATGTTGACATGAACAGAGGTTAACCTCGGCATGTGGCAGATGAAATGTAGGTTTTCGGCAGAGAAATGTAGATACACATCGGAACCAGATGACATGAAGCACTGAGCCATCATGTGTGTGCCTCTGCTTGTAGCCACCAGACCCCAAAATCATTAGGGTTCGTTAACAGCACTGCTGCTTCTGATTTGGAGACACATGAAGTGATAATTGATGTTTTTCTTATTCATTCATTTGTTGTACATGTTATGTTAGCATAACGTTGTGGATTCACTGCCAAGTGATATTGAAATGCATAAATTTAGAAGTGACATATTTCACAACAAGTCATATGACATTTTCTCAGCCCAAGTCTTCAGTGACAACAATTGAAACTATGTTAAAGAATTAAAGTGATGAAAGTATAACTTATTAATTTGCCATTAATAGTGTTTGCATTCGGCTGTTGTCTGAAAACCAACAAGTTTCACAATGTTTTCATGCATTTTTTCAGTAAAGAAATATTTATGATCATTACAAAAATTTTGAGAAATCCTCTGAGTGAAATGAATAGCTCTGGGAGAGTATTGAGTGTGTAGTTATTGTTTTTGATAACTGGAAACAGCTAGCTGGTTTTAATCTAAAAAATAAACCTACAAACATATCTCAGAAATCTAATAAAAACCAAGTTATTATTTTGTTTTAATGCCACGTTGTAGGCTAGAAGCATAAACATCGCACCAATATTACTACCCAAAACTGTAATATCCTGCTGCTGCGGCTGCTGCTGCTGCTAGTAAAAATCTAGCAACCCATATATATTTTGTCATTATTTTAAGGTCTAAAACCGAGCAAAAATTTCATTTTCTTGCTGTGTCATGGGAGATGCATTTCTCATATGTGCTCGTGTTGGCTTTTCCGTGTTGTACTTGATGGAGTATTCTTATCAGAGATTGATTTAGTGTAAATCAGACAAAGCTGAGGGCAATAAATTACAAGTGACGCAGTGTCCAGTTCAGTGACAAATGTGCATATTTCATTGTGCTCTCCAAGCAAGAGCCATAAGACTTCTGTAAGTCTAATCGTACATGTGGCCCTTTCCTTTTTGTAATAAATTGATAACAAAGTATCAAAAACACATGTGTCTCCTTTGATTATGCACTTGTGGTGTGTGAATCTCCTGGAATGGGGAAGAGTGAAAATATATTTATCAGCAGACTGTCACTGACTAAAAGGGTGTAGTCAGTTCAAGCTCGTGCTGATCATACAGAGAAATGACTTTCTCTCTGCAGAAAAAAGTGACGATGAGGAGTTGGACATCAAGCCAGAGAAAGGCATAGGAGGCCAGGGGAAGGGGGATGACGGGAAGGATCCCAGGAGGCCCAAGAGACCACGAACCATCCTGACCACTCAACAGAGACGCGCCTTCAAGGCCTCCTTTGAGGTGTCCTCGAAACCCTGCAGAAAGGTAACTCAAAGCTTAAATAATCTTTTGACAAAGTGAGGAAAATTTAGCAAATTCTTTTTTTTTTTTTTTTCAATATTCTCTGGTCTGCATTTGGAGCAATGAACACATGGAGATTTGGATGCCGACCACGAGCCCTACAGTAGTTTCACAAATAAAATTCTCAAATTAAAAAAATCTCCCCCACCTCAGAGCCGAGCTTTGAAGTGGCAAGCAGCATTCTGTTCTGTGTTAACCGAGGCAGGCTGTTGTAACGCAGTCCGCCTGCACCAAATGTCATACTGAGATAGGAGCACTGCCTCTATAGCCCTGGCCCTAAAAACAGGCGCTGCACCCGGTCCAAAGCTTTGAAGAGGCAATAACCAAGACGTCCAAAAAGACCACTGCATTCATTCAACGTTCAGTGAAATCAAAGAGGCAATGTGCCTGTTGGGAAATGCATCAAATGTGTTCAGGAGGAAAGAAAAAAGTAGTTTTTAATGTTGTGAAGTGTTTTTTTTTTTTTGTGTGTGTGTGTGTGTGACGCTGGAAATCTTTTGTCTGGATGTTTTCAGGTGAGGGAGACGCTGGCTGCGGAGACAGGACTCAGTGTTCGGGTGGTCCAGGTGTGGTTTCAGAACCAGAGAGCTAAGGTGAGAGCAGCAAACGCAGGAGACATTAGATTTTGTTTCCGCATACAACAGCCTTATTCCATCTTAAGAGTCCAGCTAATAAATCACTACAACTATGTGTGTTAAATTTATCACTGCATTCCTTTCACAAATGCAAAAAAAAAAAAAAAAAAAAAAAAAAAAAAAAAAAGAGCAAGGAGTTGCAACTGTAGCTCACTCTTGCATTAAATGTCTACACCCTCCCCTTTTCTGATTATTATCTCATGAAAACCTTTGATACTTTACAATGAAGTGCACTCAGATACAGATTTTACACAGTTCATTCGAGGGTGAACAGCGAGGAGCATCCTTTTTAAATTAAAGAGTGCATGTTAGTTTTGGGAGTTCCTCACAACTTTGACTCCTTCGTTTCAGATGAAGAAGTTGGCAAGAAGACAGCAGCAACAACAAGAACAACAGAATTCTCAGAGACTTGGCCAAGGTAACGATGTTGTACATACCCTGCAGACACAATGGAGGCTCATTGTCTCAAAGCTCTTTCTCTGGGAGGTGTTTAGCTGCATATTTACTGCATTTCGCATATTTCTCATTTACATTTTTCTGAATTTTTACAGCCCCCTTTCCACTCACAAATTTGTTCCCTTACCTGGATGTCTTCAGTTTCACCGTGCAGAATGATGTATGTGCAGAGTTTGACACCAGAAGGCTGTTTTCACATTCATCTGCTTAAGGGCGAAAGTGTCTCTGTGCTCGTCTAAAATCCCAGTTTAAGGCGTGTATGTACGGGCATGATTTTGTTATATCACAAACACAAGGCAGCCAATCAGTGTCAAATGTGCACCTTAAAGAAATGTGATATGGAGACATATTCATAGATTCTGCATTTTTCAATGAGGGAGAATGAGTAGATGTCATTTTAAAAATTCTTCCAAGTTAATTGAATAGTTTTATGCAAAAAAAAACAAATACAAATAAATAGTTAAAGCAGAGAATTTTTGTCTGGTGGGGTCCTTTTAAATGTTCTCTGTTTCATAGCAATGCATTGTTTTAAATGTTGACACCAAGCTGGTTAGAAGCTGTACATGAGGACTTCTTCCTGGTGAATGCTAAACATGATCGAAATACCACTATAGACACTGAATCTGAGAATATGAGCTTCTTGTGTATAGAGATTACAAATATGTCATTGTATAAACAAAAACATTTCACATCGAAAGGAAGGTGGGAATTCACTTTGGCAGCCAAACGAAATGAATGGCAGACATCATTGATTTTGTGGCTCCGGTGATGAAGCCACAGGAGCTTTGTGTCCATCTCACCCAGTCGGTTAGCCAACAGCAGTGTTTGTGAAGGGGATTGTGGGAGAAGCCACAGGAAAGACTACTGTAGGTTACCATGGAAATCGTACCAGGCAAGCAATCCAGGTTATTGTAGCTATTTCAAAAGCACCAAGCTACCTTCATTTTTTTTTTATCACTCTCACTATCACATTTTTTGGTTCTGCGAAACTGTAACTCAGATTCAGGTGAGCTTGTGAAATCCCCAGGTGTTAAAGGGAATCTACACATCATTGGTTTTTCCCCTGTTCAGCCCCACCTGTCTGTGTGTATCCACTGTGCGTGGCTGCAGTTACATTCTGCAGATTCATCCCGAGGTTTTTTTTCCTAATGGTTTCCCCTGTTGGTTCTCTCTTTGTTTTGCAGAGGTGATGTCCAATCGGATGGAGGGGATGATGAACTCCTTCACACCGCTGGCTCCGCCGCAGCAGCAGCTGGTCGCCATGGATCAGAACGGTTACAGCACAGACCCGTTCCAACAGGGGCTCACCCCCCCACAGATGCCCGGGGACCACATGAACCCATATGGTGAGCAATCCACCAGTTCCCACCCCCTCCAGCCATTCCCCGCAAAAAAACACCCACTCCTGCTCTCAAAACACACACATGCCTGTCCCTTGATCAACCTCGTAGCTCCCCAGTGTGGGACATGTGTTCGGGCCACAGCCCTCCTGATTTAAGCCGCTCACAGAGACGTACGAGCAGCTTCTCCTCCCACATGAGATAACACAAGCATTCTCATAAGCTATTAGGTTTTGAAGTTCATTTTCAAATCGTTTTAATATGGTTTTAACTCTCCGCCTCCAGTTCTGAGACCTGCCCCGTTACTAATGATGTTTTCCAATGTTGGTAAAAACATGTGGTCGATGTGGACAGCTTGAGATAAAGTGCAATCCCAACAATGATTGAGGGTTGTGTGAACTAATGAATCAGAATGGGAAAATAACAAGTCTCAGATTTCTGTGTGATACAGGGAAGAATTAAAATGCAAACACGCAGGGGGAGAAAAAATCAGTCAATCAAGTGTTAGTCCACAGGATGTAACTGGAATAACACATTTCAGAGTGATGTCCTCAACAAGCCCCAAAGGGACCATTTCCCGAAGTTCATAACTTCCTTATAATTTGCCTCCATTTAGTTCTTCTCGCCAGTAAGAACCCAAATCCCCAGTCTCATCACTCTCCTTTGGTTTGGGGAAAAGAACAATATTGGCAAGGCATTAAAAGATATGTCTCAAAACACTGTCCCCATTTTGTGCAACACTATCATTAAGATCCAGAGTGTAATAAAGTTAACTATTCCCTCTAGAGAAATAACATGTTGAGGTTTTATGAAAGGCGTAAACAGTTGCTATTAACCAGATCTTTTCGGAGGATGCCCCTTGTTTACATGCTCCCTCACAGACCACAATTGTCCCAGCGAGGGCAGCAAAAAGTGAGCTTTGATGATATCTAACAAAACAGTTCTCACAATTGTGATGACACACAACAGCAATTTCTCAAAGTGACTATTAGTAATTATAATTTCCCAGTGCTGCTATAAATCTCAAATACAAGATTGCATGGATTTCATAGTCGGAGTCGGGTGTTGTTGTGTTTTGTTTAGTTTTTTTTAAATGACACCTCTGCCACCGGATCCTGACGCCTATCTCCGCAATCTACTCTCCCCATAGGTAATGATTCTGCATTCCATGACATAGACAGTGACACGTCTTTAACCAGCCTCAGTGACTGCTTCATGGCGTCGTCGGAAGTCAACTCCATGCAGGCCCGCGTGGGGAACCCCATCGACCGCCTCTACTCCATGCAGAACTCTTACTTTGCATCATGAAAGAGAGGAGTGAGGAACATCAGCACAGAATAAACTGCCCATCTCAACCTGAAGCGCGATGGCCAGGAGTTTCAACACTAACACGGACACGACACAAGAAACACCTCACCTTGCTGTGGCTCCTGGTTATGTGCGGAAGCTTACTCAAAGATAGTTAAAACCACTTGTTGTAGGACAGTGAAGATTCCTGGGGAAAAAGACTTAAATATTGTTAGAGATTATTTGGTCTGATTGTTTATCTGTCACAGGAGATATTCCTCCTTTTCTTTGTTCACTTAAAGAAAAACAAGTAGATATTGAAGCCACTGATTATTACACACTCGCAAACCAAATAACAGTGAATTTATACAGTGCATGATCAATTGTAAACTAAAACTTTTTGTAAGCCCCCCCTGGTTAAGATGTGGTGTTTGGACTGTTTCTTCTTTACACTACATGGATTTCCATGTTCACCGTTAGCATTTTGATCACTTTCAATAGGTTTAGATATTGTGTTAATAGTAAATAGGTGCAGCATGTCTGCAAGAGTGACTGTACATTTGTGTATGTATGAGAGTTTGTGGTGAGAAAGAATTGTTTAGAGGAGAAAAAAAAGAGGAGCATTTTGGTGGACAAGTAGGATCAGTGAAGTGTAAATACTTTCCCCAGGCAAATTGGATGTGCATGTTAAAAATGGAAACATTCTATTTATTTAACTATAACAGGCTCTTGAAGGTACATATTAAAACTGAAAAAGCTTTATTTAAAAAGGAGAGCATTTTTTTGTTGAGCAATTAGTGAGTTCATGAGTATCTCAACTCATCTGTACGCCTTTTTAATATGAAGATTAACCCTTTTGTTTTTGTTTTGTTTTTTTTGTTTTTTGTTTTTCTTCAGCCAAGCTGTAAATGAGCAATGTTGCTATTTATTTCGTACAGACCATAAACCTTTTGTTGTCATTGTCATATGTGCATTCTCAAAATGTTAAAGTTGCTAATTGACCAAAGTTGACTGGTTTGATGAATAAACAATGTCTTTCTCCTGATAACATTAAATAAATGCCATTCAGTGATCATTCACATGGGGACATTTCAGATATCACCTGCTTCCCTGACTTATCCTCTAGCGCAGCAGCTCTACTTTGTGTTTAGTGCTACTGTAATTAGCAAATGTTAGCATGCTAACACCACTAAATGGTGAACGTACCTATTAAATGTCACCATGTTAGCATTGTTGTTGTGAGCATGTTTGCATGCTCCTGTTTATGTTTAGCTGTTCCTAAGTACAGCCCATTAGAGCCATTAGCATGGTCATTAACTGTTTGTCCCAGCAGTGAGCACATCCTGGTGATTCACCTATCTTGGCTGTTCTTTGACTTCAACAGGTGAACTAATATCAGAATCTTGTAACCGTGCCAGTGTGTGACTTGTCTGCAAGAGAATGAGGACACTGAGCCAAAAAACATGAACATGTAGTGAGGGTGAGGTCGGAAAAAAAAAAGTTCAGGTGACATACCAGTACAGCTGCACGAGCTAGCGAGCGCAGCCCCACCTATAACCTCAGGGCTTGTCGGGCGGTTTTTTGAAAGTACCATCTGGGTGCTCCTTCATCTCCCTGACAGCTCCTCAATGTGGCCAGGCAAGCTTCCACCTCTGTGTAGTAACGTGACTATGCAAATAAGCATTTGGGATGTTCCATGTAACTATGACTCAATATGTTTTTAATGTCATACTCATGACAGGGTTTAATAATCCTGCCTGCTATTCCTGAGCTGGAGGAGCACATAAAATTGTCAAATCTGGGAAGGTGTAGAGTATGAGCGCAGTGCGGTGTATGTATGTCTCTATCTATATCAGGTCTTCAATCTGACAGCCAGGTGTTGGACTTGTTGGCAAGGTTACACTGCCATTTATCTTCACTTGTCACAGTAGGTGAATATTCCTAGAAGCGCCGCACAGTGACATCATTTTAGTGTGGAATCTGATTGGATGAGATTTGTTTAACAATTGAAATGACTGAAAACTGTATCAAACCAAATGAACTCAAAAATTAGTTTATGACTTTTTGTTTCTTTTCCTCGTTGCCTGTAGTTTGTTTGAACGAGATTTTAAAAAAAAAACTGTGAAGTTGAATAGAAAACAGGAAATAGTGCGTGTCTATAAGCAAGACTTATAAGGACAATGAACACGTCTGCGTCAGGTTTCTATGTGGATTAAAGTGTGAAAGATGTGAAAGACTGAGTAAACAGATGCAACAAAGGCTCCCAGTTACAGTAAACATGGATGAGGTTGCCACGCACACATTGTGTTTGCACGAGAAAGACAGTGCAGTTTGTTTGAACCTCTCCCTTTTCAGGGTAGGCCAGGTGATCTTACAGAGAGGTTTTCAGGTGTACAGGAGGACAGAGGGTTCTGCCGTTGACATTGTAGTGGAAATGTGAGAATAAACCTTCCAAAATCATAAATTCTCCTGCACAATGTCTTTACTGAAATATGATTATAGTTATTTATGTCCAAAACCATACACTATAATTGATAGAGTAATAGATTGCGGTCACCCTGTTCTTACACGCAAGTAAACCGTTGAGATAAATAGACAAAGTTGAAAGCTTATTTCCACTGTGGTCCTCTCAGGAAAAGGGGAAAAAACTTTACATCAGGCAACACAGGTTAAAGCGCATATAAAAACAAAACAGACAAATGACTTTTGTATTCTTGACAATTCACTCACCATTTTCCAGTCTGATGTTGCTTTAAGGAACACTCTTCCAGAAACCTGTGGTGTTTAAAAAATGTATTTTTGCCAATGGAGTGTCTGAATCTAAAAGGAATAACATTAGTTGAACAACCTCTTGACGCATAACTGACCAAAATAGTTAAGTAGCTGAGTATACCAGTTTGCTTTCATCACTCATCGACACTTCAGGAAATAGACTTATTCACTCTCATGTCAAGATTTAAATGGGAAGATTGATAACCCTTTCATGTCTGTAGCTGGAGCCAGCAGCAGGTTGTTGATGTTAGCTTAGCATAAAAACAGAAACAAGGCGGAACAGCTGGCCAGGTTCTGTCTAAAGATTTAAAAAAAAAGAAAGAATGAAAAATACTCAGACAAATAAATCAGACTATTAATTGATAAGCTTTCTGGTTTTTAAGAATTAGCTGCCTTTGTTTGGCAGTAGCTTCATATTGATCAATCTTCTCATCTAGCACTCAACAAGAAAGCAAATAAGCATATTTTATTTGAACTGTTCCTTTAACTTAAGTGCATATCTCTATTTTACAAAATATCCAGGCTTCTACCTTCTACTCTGCTCCACCCAGGCTCTAGTAGACAGAGCAAAAAAAATTCAGTTTGCTCAGGATGTATTTTATTGGCCATTTATACCTCCACACTCTATACATCCTCATGCCCTTCCGGCTTTTTTCCTACTTCCTGTCCCCGATTTCTTCGGTTCAAGCCCCCAATTTGCCAAACAGTAAAAGGCAATGAGTGAATATAACCTATGTCATTGCTTGTTCGCTGGCACGCAGACGTGAATAGGCCAAAGAAGACTCTTTGAGGTTGAGGTAAGTGTGGCCTCGATGTGAAAACAGTCGTGCTGAAACCTGAGCTGAAGACACACATGCACACATACACAAACTCACGGAGAGTTAAGAGTCAGCCTTCAGTAAACTGTTCACACATTTACTCTTCTGCCGTTCTGGCACCACATAGGAAATGAGTCTAGTGACAATATTTTCATTAGATAACCAAAATCCTGAAATTTTCCACCTGAGACACAATTGGAGGTTTGTGATTCATTTTCTCTCTTAACTGGTAGCTCCTCCAGCCCGACCCATGAAAAACATATGGCACTTGATTTGTTATTGGGACTAATTTAAAACAAGATTCTCACCAGCTGCCCCATAAAAGCACAGCATGACTTAAGACAGTAGCTGAAGCGTAGGCAACAAGGCTGCACATCCCACCATCACCTCATCACCTTAACTCGGATCAGGCATTGACTCATTCAAACCGTTCAAAACTTTTATTTTGAAATGGCAATTGTTTTGAATTTACTGTACTTGGAATTGGCATTTCTCAATATCACTTTTACAACAGAACAATATTACATTTTTTTGAACAAACCAAACCCAATTAATTGTTGCTTTGCTGGATCAAAAACACTCTGACGTTTGTGGGTTCAGTACAGTCTAGATTTCTTCTCATGATTTCACAGAGTTCACAGGAGTTCACGGCGAGTCCCCAGTGGAAGCGGGGGGGGGGGCTTTTGGGTGTTTTGGTTGGGCATTTTCCATGGCGTGTGGTTAATTGTTAAGGGAGACTTTTAACCAGTGTCTGACACATATTCTTTGAGCCTTGAGGGCTTGTGCACAATCAAATGCTGTGGTTTTGACCATAGAGAGAGGGGTCAGAGCCAAACATCCAGGCATGCAAGTATGCCCTCACAGCGGTGCTTTGCTTTATTGTGTCAGTCAGCAGCACAAAACACTGCTGCCACTGTATGAGGCATTGTTTGCATGCTACAGGACCAGCGTAGACCCAGTAACAGTGGTTTACTGTTACTTTACTGACTCCACAGTGGGAAACTATTTTACTGAAATACCACAAGTGATGCAACACAGACATTTGGACATTTGTAATAAATAAAAATACAGGAAAGTCAAAATTCAAAGGAAGGTTCAGGTGCAATCCATTACATTCATTCCTCGCGTGTCTAAAAACAAATGACCATTTGAAAATCTCCACAAACGTTTCTGGGACATGCAAACATATTGCTACAACTGTTTTTTCACCTCCTACCTTTGTTGCTGTACTGAGAAAAAGATGGTGTGGGATTCACCTCTCAGCGCCCAGGGGTACAGATAGAGCCCTGGATAGGGCTCAGTAATCCCCACCACTATTGGAGCCCATCTGTTTTGGTTTTCATTTTTCTGCATTATTAGTGCTTATTGGTACATGGTCTAGGAATGTAGCCAGAGTGTTTGAAGTCAAGGAGGAAGGTGATGCCAGGGGCATTAGTTGAAGGAATGATGACCTTAAGGTCTAACACAAGCCAGCACTCCTAACCTCCAGGAGCCTCTCCCTTGATGTTGGAATCCAAAGTCCCGCTCTCTCTCCTGCCTCAGACGGCTTGGATTTTGAAATTTGCCATTTCATCTGGCAATTGACTTGTGTCACAGTCATGAGATTTTCTGGTATGACAATATACCAAAAAACTAGCCTCACAATCAATAAAAATACCACACATGCCTCTTGTGGTCTTTCAATATCTTACCAGGAAAAAGCATTGTTTTTCCACTTTAAACTATGAGATGACTACTTTTATATTGAGTCAGTTTGATATGTTTTAGCAAACATCTCCCACTGCCACTAATATGCGACATTTTACAATTTTGCAGCAGCGAGAGCAATAGCATATTAAGGCTAAGAGTCTACAGCCATGCTAGCCCTCTACGAGGCTCTGCTAAGGTGGCGCAGTGTTTACAACAAAGTACTATCATCAGCATGCTAATATGTGTACCATGATAATGTTAACATGCTGATGTTTAGCAGGTATAATATTCACCATGTTCACCATCCTGTTCATCCTAAATTAAGCTTGTTAGCATGCTAACATTGGCTAGTTAGCACTCACAGCTGAGGATTATGGGATAATGTGAATGTTATGAAGATATTTCAGATTTTTCAGGGTTTGAAAAAAAGCCAAAGTTCTCACAATTCATCCTGGCAGGGGCAAGTATATGTGTATCAAATTCTATGACAGAACGTCCCATAGTTGAGATTTTTCACTCCAAATCACACGTCAACTTCATTCATCTTGATGAAAAATCACTAAAGTTACTGGGGTATATCCTCTGGGAGCCCCGACTGTCTGTGCTCAAATTCCATTCAATAGTTCTTGAGTGGTCCAAAGTGGTGGACTGACCAACAAACACTGTTTTCCCTGGTGCCATGCTGCTACAGCTTGGTTTAAAAAAAAAAAAAAAGGCA